TTCTCCTCACTCTTTACGCTGAGACCCCACACGTGCCTTACGCGGTATTTCTATCCGTATGGAAAAAGTCATTTATAATTCCTTTACAGAAGAGTGGATTTATGTCAACTATTGAAAATTATAGGGGAATAGCAAAGTTGTCTGTAATACCTAAACTTTTTGAAGCAATTATAACAGACGACATAACATCCGGGTCTCTCCATTAATTTCTTGTTCTCAGCACGGTTTTCGTACGATCTGTAAGCCCTATACGCAATACAAACTTTATGTTGCTGCAAGTATGCACTTTTGTTGATCTAGGTGTAACTATGGACCCCAAACTCAATTTTAATCTTCACGCATCTTCCACGGTTTTTAAAGCTAAAGGCGCTCTTAGTTTTGTTAAACCTTGGTCTAAAGAATTTAGAGATCCGCTTACCACAAAAAAGCTTTTTGCATCTCTGATGATTCCTATATTAGAGAATGCATCTGTGGTTTGGAACCCTAGTTACCAAGTCCATTCGGATAAGTCCGTTTAAAAACAATTTTTACTTTTTGCCTTAAATCATTTGCATTGGGATCCCAGTTTAAATGTTCCCCCTTACACGAATCGTTTAAAACTTATAAATTTCCCCACACTCGCTAGTCGTCCGGGATGCTTGGTATAATATTTCTTGTAAAACTCATGAATGGGTCAGCCTGTAACCCATCTGTTTTATATCATATTAATTTTAACGACGACTGTTTGTTTGATGATAGGAGATATTTCGTTTTGCCCTCGTTCACTACCAGACCCATTTGTGTTGCTTCCTTGTCCAGTCTGGAGAAAGCAGAACTAACGGCGCAGGTGTTCAGGCCGATGATATCAATATCATCAGCATACGCCAGCAGCTGTACACTCTTATAGAATATTGTACCTTCTCTATTTAGTTCTGCAGCTCGAACTATTTTCTCCAGGAGCAGGTTGAAAAAGTCGCACGATAAGAAATCGCCTTGTCTGAAACCTCGTTTGGTATCGAACGGCTCGGAGATGTCCTTCCCGATTCTGACGGAGCTTTTGGTGCTGGCCAACGTCAGCTTACACAGCCGTATAAGTTTTGCAGGGATACCAAATTCAGACATCGCGGCATAAAGACAGCTACTTTTCGTGCTGTCGAAAGCATCTTTGAAAGCGACGAAGGGGTGGTGTGTGTCGATTCTCCTTTCACGGGTCTTTTATAAGATTTGGCGCATGGTGAGTATCTGGTCGGTTGTTGATTTGCCAGGTCGGAAGCCACACTGATAAAGGCCAATCAGTTTGTTTCACACAATACGCTCGATAGAACCTTATATGCGATATTGAGGAGGCTTATCCCACGGTAGTTGGCGCAGATTGTGGGGCCTCCTTTGTTGAGGGTTGGGCATAGCACACTTAACTTCCAATCGTCCGACCATATTTTACAAAGAAGCTGATGCATCAGTTCTTTGCCGCCGTGTTTGAATACCTCGGCCGGAAATCCATCGGCCCCCGCCGCTTTGTTTTTCTTCAGGCGGGTAATTGCTATTCGAATTGCGTCAGCGATTGGGAATCGGGTTCGCCTTCTCCTGGCGTTGTGCGTTCACTGCCATTCAGCAGGCTGGARAAGTGTTCCCTCCGTAATTTAAGTATGCTCTGGGCATCGGTGACTAGATCACCTTTGGGGGTACTACAAGAGTATGCTCCATTCTTGAAACCTTCTGTAAGCCGCCGAGTTTTTTCGTAAAGTTTTCGAGCATTACCCCTGTCGGCCATCTTATCAAGCTCTTCGTACTAACGCATTTCGACCTCTTTCTTTTTTTGTCTTTAAATGCGTCTCGCTTCCCTTTTCAACTCTCGGTATCTATCCTATCCTGCACGTGTTGTGGTCGATCGTAACGTTGCGAGGTACGCAGTTTGTTTTCTCTCCGCTGCGACAAGGCACTCCTCGTCGTACCAGCTGTTCTTTTGCACTTTTCGAAAACCTATGGTTTCGGTTGCAGCTGTACGTAAGGAGTTTGAAATGCCGTCCCACAGTTCCCTTATACCGAGTTATTGACGAGTGCTCTCAGAAAGCAGGAGTGCAAGCCGAGTAGGATATCGTTCGGCTGTCTCTTGTGATTGCAGCTTTTCGACGTCGAACCTTCCTTGTGTTTGATGGCGTGCCTTTTTTTGCCGCACAGAGGAGCGTGCGAATCTTGGTTGCAACAAGATAGTGGTCCATCTAAAACACTGGAGACGTGTCTTCCGTCTATCACAACATGATCTATCTGGTTGGTGGTTTTTCGATCCGGAGACAGCCAGGTAGCTGAATCTTCTTAGGCTGGAATCTAGTGCAATAAATAACCATACTTTGGAACCCGCCGAAGTCGATCAGCCTCAACCCATTTGGGGATGCTTCCTCGTGGAGGCTGAATTTACCGACCGTAGTGCCAAAGATACCTCTCCAAGCACTCATAAAAGGCATCTTTCGTCACATCGTCCTTTTCTTCCGTCGGGGCGTGGGCGATATGTTGAAGAACCTCGCTTTGATGCTGATTGCGGCTAGACGTTCATTCACGGGAGTGAATGATAGTGCCCGGCGACGGAGTCTCTCTCCCACCACGAATCCCACACCACAGCTTGTTGTTTCCTTTCATTGGGGGTGGTTTTTATCATCCCCAGCGYACAACCCTATGTAGGGGATATTTCACTTTCTCACTTTAGCTCGCCTTCAAACGGATGTTCTTAGGCTAACCAGAGGATACTTGGTCAAAGACCAGAAGTCGTAAGCTGCTTGAGTCATAGGTAATATAATCGTTTCTGGCCACTCCCAAGTGAATGGCGATCAGAAAATTTTCCTAACTTGCGTGAACTTCTACACATGACTACATCCTCCTTCTCCTACTTATATTATCTTATTTAATATAACTTCATATTCAACAGCTTACGATCCTCTCATGGTCGACAACTAAGTGAAGTTCATGATGATTATGCGCCTTCCTGTGTGATAGTTGCACATAACTATTTCTGGGTTTTGTACAAGCAATGGAAACAGCAATTAAAATCATAAATAAAATCAAGAGGGGTCATAATGCACTTAGCCATCGAAAATTTAAAACTTTCTTAGAAGAAATCGACGCTGAACATAACGATTTACTTTTACACACAGAAGTTCGTTGGCTAAGTAGAGGCAAATGTTTGCAAAGACTTTTCGAACTAAGAACAGAGGTCAAAATATTTCTAGAAGATGATAATTCAGAGTTAGGAGAATCGTTGGTTTCATCACTGAATAATGAAGAATTTATAACAGATCTAGGTTTTCTGTGCGACATCACAAAAATACTTAATCAATTAAATCTGACATTGCAGGGCAACAATAAACTAATTTTTAATTTACATAGAACAATAACAACAGTTCAAGAAATGTTAAAGAATTTAAGCCATCAAATCAACAATAACAATTTAATAAGTATGCCAAACCTATCATCACTTGCAGAGGAATTTTCAATCACAAATAAATTAGAATAATATAGCCAAATTATATCCCGCATTTTAGAAAATTACAACAAAAGATTTAAAGATCTAGCTCAAATGCAACCAATTATAAACCTATATGATAATCCATTGACGTGTGATGTTGCTACCTTTGATCCGTTACTTCAAAAAGAAATCAGAGAAATGCGATCAGATTTTTCGTTACTTATTGACTCCGGTATTGATTTTAGGAAAATGATTGATGGAAAAAAGTGTCCACTAGCGAAAGATGAAATTTTAAAAATATTTTCACTGTTCGGATCAACATATAGTTGCGAAGTGGCATTTTCCAATTTAAAGCATATTCAAAGCAAATATAGAAATCTAGTATCAAACAATCACATTCCTGATCTCATTAGAATTAAGCAATATAACAAAGACGTAAATATAGATAATTTAGTTGACCGTAATTTTAAAAAAGTACGTTTACTTATTTGTACGCACTGTTCCGTATTCGTGTTGTTTGCTTGTAGCTTTCCGAATGTACGCTAATAACCAACACAAGCATAACGTGCACACAGTCACGTTGGAGAACACTGGCCTAAACCAAAAGTAACGGTAAATTCTTGTCGTAAGCTTGTAGCTTACCATACTTGAACTGGTGCTCTGAACACATAGATCGCGACAGACTGCACGTTCTTATGGACACAGTTATTGAGGCAGCTGCACAACTCATTCACAACAAGGATGAGGATAGAGAGGACGAAACCGAATGCGCAAAACAAAAAACGGTGTAATAATAATTTCTCTTTTAAACTACTACTATATATGTCACCGAATGAGTGAGAGTTAGTTGAGCATCGACTACACTCCGAGGCGGACATGTAACAGCAGCAGCTGCAATTCTTTTTACATGTTTTTTTAAATCATCATTAAAATACATTTRYTGTTCATTATAAGCGCTTCACTTTTGAATTCGGGGAAAAACTGTCGGGTTACAACTCAGAAGTGGGATTTTATCTAAAGCCTATAAAGGATTCGTGGAATTCGCCAAAAACTACGCCCATAGCAATGCAGCTAGTGCGCGACAAACAAAAGTTTCCCGAAAATTCGTTCAAACGATACTAGAACGAAAGAAGAGGGAAAGAGACACAAGAGACGCGAGTGTACAAAGGAAATACTGCAAAGACAATTTGTCGCTAAAAGTATACCAGCGGCAAATGTAACAGGCAGTGAGGCAGTGCAATGGTTTTCAACATAAAGCGTTGAAGGCGARCGAGAGCGTCGACAAAGAGAAGTTGATGCAATTGAAATAAATTACGAATGGTAAAAAGGAGAAGGAAAACAGACGCCAGCAAGAACGGACGTGTTTAGGAAAAGCAAAATGGTCTTGGTAAAAATTAAAAATTTGAAAGTCGAACAGCTAAACCGGGTGCTAAAAAGTCAAAACTTTAATGTGGTCGGCAATAAGGCGCTAAAGGTAGCAAAAGTCAGCGAAATATATGGCGCAGATGAGGTCAATTCTTAGGAGCTTGAAGTTGGAGGCGATGGAGATAACGGGTAACAACAGATGGATGAATTGCGCAACGCTATTCTGGAATTAACGAAAACTGTCGGTGAACTCACAGCATCGCGCAGAAGTGATGAAGGTACAGTTACGGCAGAGGGTCCGCGAATGACGTCAACGCCAGCACATATGAGCGAGGTGGTCACAACGGCGCAAAGGCCAAAAGTGGCAGAACGAGGAAGGGCTAGCGGTTTGCAGGAAATTTGTGGGTTGATGCCAGAGTACGACCCATTAAAGGGCRCGTTAAGCAGTGCAGTGTTCATAGAGAAGACGGTACAGTTGCGTAGCGCATATGAATTGACGGAGCAGGAAATATTGGTAGCAGCACAACCAAAGCTGAGAGGGGTCGCAAAAGAATGGCTAGACGCCCAACAAGTATTCCAAACGTGGGCTGAATTTGTTGCAGCCTTTGAACGAGATTTCCCAGCTACAATGATATCAGCACAGGTGCACCGTGAGATGGTACAACGGAAGCGGCAATCACGTCAGACATTTGAAGAATATTATTATGCCATGTTAAGTATTGGGCGACGGGGGAAGATGGACGAGGAGTCCATTAACTCGTACATCATCACGGGTCTAAACGACACATCACTAACGCGCACGTTGTTGGCTCTAAAGGTGCCGACATGCAACGATCTTCTACAATCCATTAACGCGTTGGTCGCTATACCAACTACCACGAAAGTAAGCATGTCAGACTATAGGACTCCAAGCGAGATGGCCAACAAAACAACGGTCGAGAGGAAGCAGATCAAATGCTATAATTGCAACTCGTKTGGGMACATTGCGGCTAAATGTCCTCAACCTCCACGAAAACCCAAATGTGCTCGGTGCAACAAGGTGGGGCCTGAAGCCAAAGCATGTCCCGCCGAACGACCAACAGTGGCAAAGGTCAACGACGAAGTCATCGTTGCAGTCAACCCAGCAAGCAAAGAAGTYATGGTCAACGGGGAGCAATACAGTGGTTTCATCGTTACGGGTAGTGACTCCTCGCTTGTTGCGTCATCTAAAGTGCCGCATGACGCAGAGCGCCGAACTTCAGTAAAACGTCTTCTAGGATTCGCCGGAGCGGTGGTGAACAGCACAGAACTAGCCAACATCAACATCGTCATCGATGGAATTACGATCTCGACAGCCTGCCAGATCGTTCCAGATAAGTTTATGCCATACGATATTATTATTGGTAGCGACATTTTATGCAAAGAAGGTTGCAGGTTAACCATCGACTCTGGGGTCATTCGAGTGCATATGTGCCAGACTAATACGTTCAACATCGACGAAGCACTCAATCCAGATGAAGTTAAAGAAGTCACCAGAGTGCTACATAAGTACGAGAGTTGCTTTACGGAGACGTTGGTGAATCTATCGAGATGCAGAACAACTAAAATGGAAATCTCTATCAGTAGCGATCAACCAGTCATCGGTAGGCGCTATCAAGTGGCGTTAAGTCAACGACCAACGTTATCGAAAATCATCGACGAGCTGCTGAAGTGCGATATCATCAGGCCAAGTTCATCACCACATTCGGCTCCAGTGATCTTGGTAAAAAAATCGAATGGTGAAGACAGGATGTGTATCGATTATTGGGCACTCAACGCAGTGACATTAAAGAACCACTTCCCAATGCCGATCGTCGAGGAGCAGTTGTCAAAGCTCGCCAATAACCATGTATTTACCATATTGGACATGACGGCTGGTTACAACCAGATCCCTTTGACAGAAGACAGCAAACAGTACACCGCGTTCTTGACACCAGACGGGTTGTACGAGCACAACGTGATGACATTCGGGTTGCATAATGCGCCGATTGTATTGTAAGAAATGGTAACAAAGCTGGTGAGAGGGTTAACTCATCGTGACCAAATAATAAGCTACGTGGATGAAGTCATCATCGCTACGAAAACGGTCGCAGGAAGCGTCGACGTACTCAATGAATTTTTACAAGCGGTAAAAAATGCCGGACTTACTTTGAGAACGTATAAATGTACCTTCATGGCAACACGTATACAGTTCCTTGGTCATGTCATCAGCGCAGAGGGCATCCAGCCGGGCGAAGAGAAAACAAAGTACATAAACGACTTTCCGCAACCACGCACGCCAACGAAAGTGCGACAGTTTCTGGGCCTAGTCGGATTCTTCCGGAAATTCGTTAAAGGGTATAGCATCATAGCCAAGCCATTAGCCGCCTTACTCAGGAAGGAAGCAACGGTTGTCTGGGCTGAGGAACAGCAACAGGCATTTACGAATCTGAAGCAAGCCCTAACTACGCAACAAGTACGAGTGCAGCCGGTATCTCGGGTGTTATGCTGCAGCAAGAGGGTGGCTGGAAACCTGTTCAATACTACAGCCGGCAGTGCAGTTCAGCAGAATCCAGGTATCCGAGTCACGAATTGGAAGTCTTGGCTGTTGTAGAATCGGTAGAGRGATTCCGTGTGTTCTTACTGGGCACTCATTTTGTAGTTCGCAACGACTGCAACGCAGTGGTTACAACCAAAGAAGCTACTCCGTTGAGGCCACGCATCGCTAGGTGATGGCTGCGGTTGCAAGAATTTGATTTTACGTGCAAACATTGTGCCGGTGTTTAGATGCTACACGTTGATGCATTGAGCAGAGCTCCAGGTGAGCCATCCACCCAGCCGGAAAAAGTTGCAGATTATGTGTTAGCAGTTGGTCACGTCAGGGCGCCAGACGATTGGGTATATGCGATGCAGATTCAGGATAAGTCGCTGAAGMGAATTTGTGAGGTACTTCAAGGCACAACTGGAGAAACCGACGGAGCTACAGTCAAGCAACTAAACACCGATTACGAACTCTGCAATGGTCGGTTATTCCGCAAGGTAAATAAGGAATTCAGGCTGGTGGTGCCGCACACAGTTAGGTGGCGCGTTACTAAGGCATGCCACTTTGATGTCGGTCATTTAGAGTTAGAGAAGACACTGGACAGGTTGATGAAGTATTTTTGGTTTCCTCGAATGCGTCGGTATGTTAAATCCTGCTGCCTGTGAGGAGTGCTGTCTTAACAAGGTCGCAGGTGGCAAAGTAAACTTCATGTTGCGGAGGTACTACCGATACCATTCCGGCATATTTACCTTGATCACGTAGGACCATTTCCAAAACGCATTTCCGGTCAGGCGTATGTCCTCGTCATGGTATGTGGGTTCTGCAAATATTCCTTGCTGAAAGCTGTACGAAATACCGGAAGCACACCAGTAATAAAGGCGCTAGCAGATATGATGGCGATCTTTGGTCAACCGCTTCGTATCACCACTGACCGAGGAACCGCATTCACATCAAAGCAGTTTGAAGCATTCACCCACAAGAATGGTATTCAACTTTCGAAGACAGCGGTACGAACCCCGAGAGCAAATGGTCAGGCAGAGCGAGTGAACAAAACGCYCTTAACTGCACTGAAATGTATGACTGTCGAGACTAGGGCCTGTAACTTATCACTGCCAGCACTCCAGTGGAGTCTTAATTCGCAGAAAAATGAGGTAACACAGTATACACCTAATGAGTTAGTCTCCTTCTTTAATCCTAGGGACGTAACCGGTAAACGAATCATTCAAGCTTTGCACGACGAGGTCACCGAGATGTSAGACATCGAGATAAAAAGGGGCGAGGCAGCACAGAATATCATGAATCAGCGGAACAAATGGAAGGAGAGGTATGATCAACGTCACCGGATGACTCGGAAATACCAAGTCGGGGACCTGGTTGTAGTCGATTACGTCCCAAGTGCAAGAGGAGAGTCACATAAATTAGATCCGGTGTACAAGGGTCCACAACGGTAACGAAGGTGCTGGACTACGACCGATACATCATCGAAAACTTACCAGATGCCACAGTAACACAGCGCAGGTATTGCAACGTTATGTCGGTGGACCACCTCAAGCCTTGGTGTTCGTCCAGTCCTGAACTAGACAGCGATAACTCGTCTTGGGTTGACTAGATGTCAGGAGAGGCCGAGCTGTCACCGAATGAGTGAGAGTTAGTTGAGCATCGACCACACTCCGAGGCGGACATGTAACAGCAGCAGCGGCCATTCTTTTCATATGTTTTTTTAAATCATCATTATAATGCATTTGTTTTTCATTATAAGCGCTTCCCTTTGAATTCGGGGAAAAACTGTCGGGTTACATATACATATATTCCATTTTCAATTTTGGTTATAGGATGATGTTTATTGCTTTTGACCAAATATTAAATTATACCATCTTGGGTATATTTTTAAGCGCTTTAATTAACCAATTAGTGGACAAACTCGAAATTCATTCTCACAATTAGTGGACCAGATAAAATAACTATTGTAATAGTATTTAGTATTATAAGTCATAATATTTCTTTTTAACATTAAATTTTAAGAGATATGAAGAGATAATTATAAAACCGATCTTTCTTACAGTTTATATATAACTTTTTTTTACTGGCATATTATCTCTTCTTCTTTATTTTCGTAGATACGCTATTATAGCCGGTTCTTCCATTGGAGTMGAGGTCTTCTCTTCCTCTGCATCCCCCGGAGGGWACTGCGTCGAACACTTTCAGAGTCACCCCAGCTTTGTCCATTCGGACAACATGTCAACGTCGCAACAAATCTTTCGCAGAACTTTTCTTTCGAAAACTCGCTACATCGACGCATCAGTTGTTGTCATCGTCCAAGCCTCTGCACCATATGGAAGGACAGGAATAATGACTGACTTATAGAGTTTGGTCTTTGTTCGTTGAGAGAGGACGTTACTTCTCAATTGCCTTGTCAGTCCGAAGTAGCACCTGTTATTCTGCGTTGGATTTCGAGCCTGCAATTTTTGTTGGTATTGATATTTGTTGTAAGATAGACGAAATTATCTAGGACTTCGAAGTTGTGACTTTAAACAGTGACGTGAATGCCAAGTCGCGAGTGCGACGACTGTTTGTTTGATGACAGGAGATATTTCGTCTTGCCCTCGTTCATTGCCAGACCCACTTGCTTTGCTTCCTTGTCCAGTCTGGAGAAAGCAGAGCTTAGGGCGCGGGTGTTTAGACTGATTATATAAATATCATCGGCATACGCCAGCAGCTGTACACTCTTATAAAAGATTGCCGATTAAGTTCTTCAGCTCGAATTATTTTCTCCAGAAGCAGAAGTCGCACGATAGGAAGTCGCCTTCTCTAAAACCTCGTTTGGTATCGTACGGCTCGGAGAGGTCCTTCCCGMTCCTGACGGAGCTTTTGGTGTTGCTCAACGTCAGTTTACACAGCCGTATTAGTTTTGCGGAGATACCAAATTCAGACATCTCGACAAATAGGCACCGCCTTTTCGTGCTGTCGAAGACAGCTTTGAAATCAACGAAGGGGTGGTGTGTGCCTTTTGTCGGGCCTTTTCAAGATTTGGCGCATGGTGAATACCTGGTCAGTTGTTGATTTGCCATATTGATAAGATCCAATCAGTTTGTTGACGGTGGACATTAATCTTTCACACAATAGCATTAAGCTACATATAAATTTTAATTTGATGATCAACATTTTAAAACATATTAAATAATGCAAGTGTTTACTTTATTTAAGCGATTATATTGAATTATTTTGCATATCTGTTCAATTTGTAGTAGGATACAATCCTGGGTGGTAATTTGTCGTTTGAAAGAAAAATTGACATTGCATTAGCCGTTATAAGAAAACATCAAATGAAAATTGAGTTTGAAAAGAAAGATATGTCGAAGTTTTTAATAACAATACATATTAGTGTTAATAATAAAGTTTATTATTAAAACCAAATGAGTGTTGTTGGTGAAATAAAGTAAGATTAAGGTAAGATGTATAAATATATTAGAAATATGTCGAAGTTTTTAATAAGTTTTTGTTTACAGAAGAATGCCGAAATCTTGTGTGTGCAGATGTGCGGCAGCTAAATCCTTCTATAATCCTTTAAAATATATATGCATATTTTGTAATTATTCTTATATATAGTATATACCGTTTCCATCAGTTTTCTCGTAAATAGTATACGGATGAGAATTAGAACGATGTATTAAAAATCCAACTTGAAATGTCTAAATATCTTCTTTCTTCTTCTTTCTAAATTAAAATTATTGGTAGTAATATTTCAAAAACTTACGAATACAAGCCGTTTTATGTTTTCTGTCTGTCAATTGTAAACAAATACAATCAGAAGAAAACTCACCACCGAGAAATCTAAAAACAGTGCTGCATTTTATTAATGAGAGCTCAATACATAAGGAATATCTGACTATCAGTAAGTGATATTTTTATGGGCGAAACATGACACACTATGGCGTTTAAATCAAATATTAGTAAATATATGTTATTAATAACAATATTTATAGTTTTTGTTATTTAATAGAATAAATTTCCTAAATATTTACTACCTTACTATATACAGCACTGCGTTGCTACCTCTGAAAATCCAAGATGGCGGCTATTCACCTCTCAGAAAGCTACCACGAAAAGGTTATCGACTGTAAATACTGTAGTCTTAAGTCACCTCTCAATTAATAAAGAAGCACTCAAATTTTTAAAAACAATTTTGAGATTTTATTTTATTTTTTTTTTATTTTTATGGCATAGGGCCATAATACGTAAGTATATACATAATAGACGAYTTCTATTAAAATTGGATTAGATTTAWATTAAACAGAAGTAAATATTACGCTCTCAAAACGCTATTTAACGAAAGCCTATAAAGTGCCACAATTTAGCTTCACAATCTGTTACTATACTGTTATTTGGTACAGTATACATTAAGGAGTGGAATATATATGGTTAAAAAAAAAAAAATAACAATGAGTGGGGCCTCGTCCTCTAAAAAGTTTTATGTACTT